CACTATTTTTGTACCTCAGTCTCGATGAGATAATAGATGATGAAAGAATTTGATTGCATGGTAACTATATCATTGACAGGTAGCTGTTTCGCTAAATCCTAATATATCGGATGGCCATGATGTCTTGCTAGGAGCCAATCTTGGTCTGTATTTAGTGAAATGATTAATTGATGTTAATCGCTATACTACTCACTGCCGGTATGATGAAGAGCCTACGGATCGCACACATAGAATATAATTTAAGAATCAGTTTGTGCAAGGGGCATTATCATTTTTTAGGACGAAAGGGTATTTTGGTAATCTCACAGTACAATTAAATTTGTTAAGGTTGTTGCCTATATTTAATTTAATGTTAAAATTAAATAAATGAGATTATATTTAAATATATGTACTCATATATTTAAATGAATTATTGTTAATTAAATGTTAATATATTTCATAAATATATTAATTGACTTTAAGTATAATAATAATTAATTTAAAATAAAAAATACCACAAGGGGTGTGTTTGGATACAAATTTGGAGTCATGCCTATTCCTCATTGGAATAGGATTTTGACACATGCACTATATGTTAGAGAATGATTTAATAATTTATTCAACCAAAGAAAAAGAAAAAAAAGAGGCAGCTCCTTTTCTCTACTCCTCTCATGTTTGCCTTCCATTTTGAATCAAAGATTTTTTCTTTGATTTTGTTTTGATTCTTGAAACCAAAGAGGATCTATCAAATCTCTCTTTGGTTTTTCGGATTGTCATCGTGTGGATTACCATTCATTCGATCATATTCTTGGATCGGTAATGAAGCAGATTCGGATACATTTGAAGGAGTCTCTAAACGTGCGTAAGATCTCTAATCCTTGTATAGATTAATGTTATATTTGTTCTTTTTAATTTAAGCATGTAAAATATATATATATCAGAGCCTGATCTTGGATTAATGAGAGTAATCGAAGAGAAAATTTTTCATTTTCCACTTCATTTACCCCATCGATTTACTTACAATGTATATTGATGCAACCTTAATTCTCTTTGGGCGGAATTGATTGATAGGTTGGAAATGCCTTGCAGCACTAAATCCTTTTGGGCCGAATCATGTTTGGGCTTACCTTCTTTCTTCTTCTCTAATTAGTCTGGGCCGAATGAACTTTAGGACCATAAAAGACTCCTTCCATGGACTCTTCTTGGGCCGGATGGGAACTAATGGGCTGGTTAGGAGTTGGATTCACATCATGACATCCTGAGATAGTCCCGAAGCTTCAAATATCATTTCGCGAAATTCTTCTTTCCAAAGCAGTTAGACATATATTATAATCAAATTTGTTTAGTAAAAGAGAAACCGACCGAAAATACCCCATTCGTTCATTAATATTCTCAATAAATTCCACATGTTCAGATGCATTAAAAGATTCAACTCTTGCCATGTCTATGTTCCAACCCACAAGCCAAGACTTGACAATTACATGGACAATATCTTCGTAGTCGTACCTTCCCAGAAAACTAATCATCTTTTTCAATTCCCAACTATCATCGATAGACCAGCTTGTCAGGAACTATATGTCTGAATCACTCTCACTTGTTACATTAAATTAAAACGAGATGGGGAGTTTATGTAAATATCTATGAAGCTTGTCCTTCTCTTGTTTGTAAACATCAAGTATATCATTTTTTATGGTGTTTAGCCCATACTTAATAAAAGCATATATTTTTCAATTGTTTTTCTGGTGTAAACCGAAGACATCTTCAATGCCGATGAAAAGCTAAGGAAATGAAAAATAGGTTGGAAATCGTTGAGATGGGTTGACCGGAAAAAAACAACATATCCATTTCTAAATCAACCAAAAGAATGACAGGAAATTGCTTCACATTTGTTTCACAGCAGAAAAGGCAAGATTTGTTGTATGATTTGTAAAGGTGATGACCGCGAAAGGGTGGAGATGGAGGAGTTAACGGGATAAATTAAAAAACTGGTACATTTATCATTAAAAGTTTTCACTTTTTGATTGGATTTATGTTGTTAAGCAAGGAAAAGAAAAAGTTAATCCGAATATGGGGAGGCTAAGGCTGGGTTAATCTGAAAACGAAGGCTGAGGTGAAGCTGGAGGTGGTGACCGAAAACGGCAGGCTATGGCAGTGGTGGAGATGGTGACAAAGAAGAACATGGAGTCCGATGTAGAGGAAGAGTCCATTAAGAGTTCCTGATAAAATTAGAAATAAATTAGCTGTGTTTGAAACATTATTCAAACACTATCCCATCCTCGTATTCTATAAAATAAATAAAAAATAAAAAATAATTGTATTTGTTTAAATATTATCAAAACCTAACTTTATTTTATTCAACTCAAAACATAAAAAATTATTTTTCTTAATAAAAGTTTTAAAATTAACAAAAATATTTCACTTTTCTCAATCAAAATTTATAAATTAACAAAAATTCTCTCATTAATCCAATAATTATCAGCGATCGATCATCACTGTCGAACAGTAGCCGTAAGTCACCGAAATGACATTGGATTGAAAACAAAAAATTCATTAACGATTCTACCAAATGCGTGCATGCTTTAGTTAGAGATTTGCATGTAATCCTATCGTTATTACCTTCTTAACCCTTCAAGTTAAAGTTACATAGGTATGTTTTCAATAAACCCCCCTGTGTTTCAGATATTACAGTTAGCGCCTACAAGTTTTAAAAAAAGGACCCTAACCCTTATTCTGTTAACATTTACTTGGTAAACTTGTAATTTTAACTTTTAAAAGTATCCATTGCTCTTAGGAGAATATCAACTTTATTATTCCACCCCCAANGGGGTGTTTTTGTTAACTTTTAATATTTTATTATAAGGGGTGTTTTGTAAAAAAACAAACATAGGGGGTATTTTATAATTTGTAAATCCTACATCGTAATACCCGCCCAATTCAACTTTTTTTTTAACTTTTTTCAAAAAACTTTTCCCAAAAACACAAAATTGTGAACCAATCGTTATTACTTGCTTAACCCTTTGGGGCGTTTGGTTGGCGGTAATGTCAGATTATTGGGGTAATGTCATCTGATATTACTTGATTATCACGTTTGGTTGTTAAGTAATATAAGATTCCGGTAATCTTCAAATACCAATAGTAGTTACTATTGGTAATATTGGAGGTAATCTGATTACCTTCATTTTCTTAGGTATTTTGAGATTACCAGGGTTGTCCTTTTTTGTTACAATTTTATCCATTATTAATGAAAATTTTGGACAATAATGCCCTCATTTTAAAATAAATTTACATTAATATCCTATTTCAATTTTACCCCTGTTTAACTAAAATTTTAGACAATAATGTCCTTGTATTTAAAACAATTTACAGACCATTGCCACTCAGCCACCACCACCACTGCCACTCAGCCACCACTACCACTGCCACCCAGCCACCACCGCGTACAGCGGCCAACCACCACGGACCGCCTTGGAAAACTCGCTGGAGTCCCTAAAAAAGAACGAGTTTGAGTGGGAGGCTCCGGGAGTCATCGATATAGCCGTTTTTGGCCATATTGATGGCCGAAAACGGCCATATCAGGCCAGATCTAGCCGTTAACGGCCAGATCTATTCCGGCTGAAATAGTTATGGCCGTTAACGGCCAGATCTCGCCCAGATCTGGCCGAAAATGGCCAGAATCGATTTGGCCATTTCCGACCAGATCTGGCCTGATATGGCCGTTTTCGGCCATCAAAATGGCCGAAAATGGCCATATCAAAGCCTCTTAGTCACGGTGAGTTGCTGATGGGGACTTTTGGAGACTTCTGGAGGTGGTCTACGGTGGCGGCAGGAGGTGAGGGTGATTTCGTAATAAATTAAAGTTTTATATAAGCAGGGGTGTTTTAACTAAATCTGAAATATTAGGGGTTAAAAAAATTATTCAAAAATTAATAATAAAAATAATATTATATTAATATTTGTAAAGGGGATAATTTAGTAATTTAAATAACATACCCATCAATTTATTCCCCATAACCAACCATATTAATATAACATACCCACCAACTAACCAAACACATTTTCTTAAAGATTCCCAGTAATCTTTCAAGGTAATCTATCTTTCCAGTAATCCAACATTCCCAGTAATCTAATATTCCTGAACTAAATGCCCCCTTCAAGTTAAAGTTACATAGGTATGTTTTACTAAACCCCCCTGTGTTTCATATATTACAGTTACCGCCTACAAGTTTTAAAAATAGGACCCTAACCCTTATTCTGTTAACATTTACTTGGTAAACCTGTAATTTTAACTTTTAAAAGTATCCATCGCTCTTAGGAGAATCGCAACCTTATTATTCCACCCCCCCTTTATTTTTCCTCTTACCCTCTACTTCCTCCATTTATCTCCCTCCCACCCTCTTCGTCCTCGCTCACTTGTCAAGAAATGCCATTTGGCCTCACCGACGTCGAGGCCAGACCAACCTTGGCGGCTGCCGAGAGGCCTTGTTTGGCCTGTATCAGCATCACCTTGAAGGCTTTCAAGCCTTTAGCGGCCGTCGCAAGGCCTCTTGTGGCCTCAAGTGATGGCCTCCAAGGCCTCTAGTGGTCGTGGAAGGCTCCAGCAATGCCACGTGGCCGTTAGAAGCGGTAGGTGGCTAGTCTATTGGGGTTTGTGTGTGATTTTTGCTTCATTAACAGAATCGGACAAATGGAGGCTAGGGTCTAATTTTCATAACCAACGAGTGTATTTTACTAATTCTAATTCCTCAAACGCGCGAGGCTTTACTCCAAATTTCCTTTTTGGCTAGTTATTGAAATTTCTTCAATATTTTTTTTGTCATCTCTTTCGATTCCTAGTTAAATTTCCTCTTTATCTTGTTCGTGGGACTTGTGTTATTTTTATACTTCATATTCATCAAATAATTATGACTTATGACCCAAGCCAAATACCTTCACCAATCCAACTTAAACAATCTGAACAAGAATTGACCAACCCCAGAAAGACCAAGGCAAACTAAAAGGGTACAAATATGCAGAGGTCAAAGTACTGCTAAATGGTAATACTCATAAAATAATAAGAATCAAAATTTAGTACATCAAAAGAACTATTACTAAACACTGTTATTTAACACTTAATTATTCATTCTCCGGAACAACTAACATAATTGCAATAATACAATTATCAAGTACAAACAAGTGATCATGACACAATCCATCTTTATTGCAATCATAGTTCAAAAACTTGGTCGAGTAAAATGTCTAATACGTGGTTGAAGTCGTATTCCTATCATTGCTAAGCAAAGTAGTATACCTACATATGTCATCCTCCAGCACACACTCCAGCTGCCGGAAACTTGAAATCTCCATGGCAAAAACAAAATTGCATGCTTTCAAAGGCTTTCATCAAGAGGCTACCCAAAGAAGAGATCAAAACGCCACAGTTTAGCTCTCAGCAGAACTTAGGCATCACGTGATATGTTTGAAGAGAACTGGTGTGGCCAAACAAGTATCCAGACCCAAAGAACTAAAAGTGACGACTTAATTAACCAAAGATTCCTCCATGTATACGTACAAAGCAGTATATGTAGCTCCCCTGAAACTCCTACAGTCCCTGTTGTATTTTGTTCACGCGCTCCTTTGCTCACCTAAAGAAACACTTTGTGTGCGTCTTTTGGCCTTTTTCTTTAAAATAACCTGAACAAATTAGGCTTTGGCAATCAGCAACAATAGTTCAGAGATGAGTTACAGACTACAAGCTTCAGCAGAGTATTTGTAATATAGCAAAAAGAAAAAGTAGAAACTTGTGACTAGATTATATAAAATGCTTCACACGTACTAAAGAATCAGTAGGCAGGTTTCTACTTTCTTCACATTGTTTTCTCCTTCACAACAAATCTCTATCAGATTCCCCCTATGCATACCGTACAGACATCCCAATATGATAAGAAAGTCTAGTAGGGACAACATTGCCTATTGTAGACCTCAATATTAAAATGGTAGAATGTAAACATGGAGAAAGCTTCCAACTCTTAAAACTCTTACACAGGGGATCAGCAAGGATACCACTCAACTATAGGGGTTTTTTCTTCAGTTTAATGCATAACAACTGTATGCTAAAGAAAATACTAAACAACTAGACTATTGGCAGAAGAAATTGATGGTCAAGAAAACAAAAATGAGACTACACAAATATATAGTCAATTGAATCTAGCAAATGGAAACTTTAACACAGACCTTAGCTGACAATGGGGGCAAAGAGGCATCACGTAATGCCTTTCCAGGTTCAGTTAACTGTCGAATCTCTTGAAGTTGACTTGTTATATCCTCCAGAAGCTGCAACTGAACTTTTTCCCTGTCCCTACGTCCTATTGAGAAGTTGAGCTTCTCTCTTCCCTCTTGCACAACCCTTAGTCTTTCTGTAAGCCACCCAACTTCATTGTCAATTTTCAACCTTTCATAATCTAAAGCAGACATAGAATTTCTCCGCAAATTGGAAAGCACATCTTTGCTCTGCTGGGAACCCATATGCAGCAATCTACTACTAGATATGTCTGATTTGCTTCTCTTAATGTCAGTTGCAGTTTCTGAGCTATTTATAGTTGTACTATCACATGATATAGGAATATCCACCGTGACATTATTTGACAGGTCTTCACTTTTGTTTCCCCTAGTTTCATTAAACATAACAAGCTCATTGCCAATGACAGGCACATGGTTAACACAAAGGTCTCTTTCAGTTTTGACTAAGCTTTGTGAAAGTTTTTTATGCTTCTCCACATTACTAGCACTACATGGAGAACCAATATTAGCTGCGCCACAAGTCTCTATTGTCTTTGATGTCAAACCTTGGGATGAACTGTTGTCATCAGCTTGCACCTCTCTTTGTAGATCAATTGGATTCTTGTCCATGGACATTATCCCCTTCTCTTGTAAATCTTGAAAAATTTCATCACTGTTTCTTGAAGGTTGCTGATAACGTTTGTTAAAACTGGGATGTCCATGGATGTATCCTAGTTTTGAAGAGTCAGTATCTTCAACCAATTCTGGAATTGGTAATTCTTTCCCTAAAGGGAGAGTATAATTTTGTGACTCAGTAGATGTAACATCATTCTCAGGAACATCATTTGTACCTTTAATCTTTTTCTTCTCTCCAAAGGATTTACTAATTCTCAGTAGCATCATTGCTGGATCCTCATTAAAATATAATGAGGAAGAAGCCTTGCACTCCAGTGTGGAAGCTGTATCCTCCATATCAGCCTCCAACTGCTCATTTGCGAAAAACATTTGCCTGAAAGCTTCAACTTCTTTCTCTAAGAAATGCCTTTCCCTCTCTCTCCTTACCAAGATCTCTTTGAGAATGTTCATTTCTTCGGCATCATAAGCATATTTTTCTTCTATCATCCTCTGGTATTGCCAAGCTTCCATTTCAATTGATGCCTTCTCCTCTTGTAGACGAAGTATCATAGCCATGGCCTCATCTGCTGCAGTAGCAGCAGCACTTCTCTCTTTCTCAAGTTCAAGATACAGAGTTGAACGAGCGGCAAGCTGTTCTTCCAGTGCTTGTTCCAAAATTCTAATTGCATCTTTATCAAGGCCATCAAATTCCAGCTGCCCTTGCAAATTGTAGTTGAACTCTTGAACAAGTAACACATCCTTCTCATTTACTTTATTTTCATCAAGAGGTTCGTTCAATTCATTAAGCATACCAATCTCCTCCTTAAAATCTCCCTTTTCGTCTAAAATAATAAAACCATCCACATAAAACAGCATCAAAATATGCAGAAATAACAAATGGAAATGTAAGTGTGTAACTGCATTCTGTTTCACGTGTCAAACCACAGCAAAAGCATGTAGTTTTTGTGCCTGATGGAAAAGACTTTAAAACTTAAGCTTTACCACCTAAAAGTTCGACATGAAGCAATATAAAAACCTTAATTCCTGACATATGCAACCAGTACAACCAGCCATTTAGTAAATTGAAATCCAGTGTTATTATGATTGATGTATTTCATTAATTCCTATTAATTAACACTGTAACTCTAAAATTGGAAAGTCTAACAAAAATATTTTAAGGCTCAAATCGGGCATGCTAAGATTCACCTCTAAAATTCAATATTCAGTAAAAAGTAACCAATATTCATAGATATTAACAAAAGGGGTGGCCCTACATTAAGACAACAAAGAACCTTTACAAATATGAACTTTCATAAACTTTTTAAAAGTATGAACATTCAGACATAATTAATGCAGGCTCTATCCTAATACAAAAGATATATTCGATAATAATTTGTTGGCATTCATATACAAGGTAATGATTTAACTTGGCTCTCTTCAATTTGTCTATAAGGTGATCTATTAGCCACCAAAAAGACTCACACCATATTGCAAATTCTACATTATTATAAAAGAAGCGGTGTACAGTCAAAATAATATGGAACTAATAACAACACGAATATGGAATTATGGAACTTCAGACTCTCTTCATTTTGTATTTCAGATAATTATGCTCACAAAAAAGACACCACAATGATGCACTGTCGAGTTTATAACGAGTTCGAAGTATAGTTAGAACATCATGAGAAAAAATGTTAATTTGCTCTAAGTTAAATACAATCAAATAGCAATAACAATTTTATGCTGAAACTAAACTTCAGAGCATAATTTTACACTTACAATCAAGACTATCAGTTCCCACGTGAAGTGGAACTGAGCTGCATTCTGTGATCTCATTTACTATTTTACTAACACTGGCAGGAGACCCCAGAACAGCCTGTTCATCCGACAATAATGGATCAAGAGATGAAACTGATGGAGACTTATCATTATCAGCAGAAGCATTTTCGCGATGCTTGATACCAGAACTTAAACTCCGACTAGTAATCGCCTTCCCTTTAACATCAAAACTTCCTTCTTCCACAGGAGATTCTCCCTCAATCACTTCTCGCGAAAATGAGCGACATGATGCTTCACCCTCAAAGTTTCTCTCTATTTTCAATTGGGGATTCAAGTTATTCGCGAACACCGAATCGAAAGGGAACTTGGTCTTAACCAAGAATTGAACATTAGATATTTTCTCTGGAGGGCAATCCACTAACAGACTTTGCAAGCAGTTGTTGTAATTAATCTTACTGGGGTTACCGAAAAGTCCATGGCAAGGACAAGGCAAACTCAATCCAAACAAACCGAGAAATTTTGACATAATATAAGCAAGTGTTGATCCACATAAGAGTAAATAAGCTATAGAAAGATCAAGATATGCACCGACTAGTTCACTAATTGTCCACGCCTCTATAGCTTGACAAGCCATTTTCTTTCCCATAACAAAACTTTATCACTTAATGCATATATCTCAAAACACAAATAGCCAAAACTAATCAGCTAATTTTCTGATTGGTTACCAAGAAAACTGAGAAAAAACAAAAGGAAACAAAAGGCATTAACATTCTAAAACTTTCCCAACCAAATTCAGCTCTGTTTGGTAGGCAAGAAAGTTCAGGAAAAGAAAGAAAGAAACGTATATCAAGATTTTAACACCTGTCCATTAACTCAAAACCTAAGTAAACGCGAAAAAAAAATAGAGAACTAACGAAACTTGGCTATGTTTGGGGCGGAAGAAGTGCGTTTACGCTTCCTCTGTTTTCATTTCCAGAGAAGAATAACGGTGATAATAACGAACTCATTTAACTCACCGAGCTGTGGGTGGGTGGAGTCAGTACCCTAATATATTTAGAGGGTTTGTTGCAGATGGGGGAAACAGAGTTTCTTGTTTTGATTGTGATTCGAATTTGATTGTTTCGTTTCAGATTCTTCAGTTACATTCCCGAGGGGGAATACGGCGTCGTAGGGTGTGTCTGGGATATGGACAATATGGTCGGTGAGAGTGAGAGTATGAGTATGGTATGGTTTTATTATTATTTTTTTTAATAATACCGTATGTATTAAACAAATCTTTATAAGATTTGTGTATAAATTGATATGACACAAAATGAATGAAAAAGTCACATCACTTTGTACACAAATCTTTTTAAGATTTGTTTATATATGTAGCATTAGTTATTATTTTATTGAGTCATGTTAGACATATAAACAATTTTTACAAAGATTTGTGTACAAACTGATGTGGTAGAAAATGAGTGAAAATCAATTTGTACACAAATCTTTGTAAGATTTGTTTCATTGTTTGTACGTCTAGCATTATTGTATTTTATTTTTAAGAGTAAAGGACTTTTCCCCCACCAAAAAAAAGGTTTAATGACACTTTCCCACCATCGGACTTTTAAAATACCACTTCACCACTCAAAACACAAATATGTTAATAATTTTTGTTGTGAAGAAGGGCAAGATGGTCAAAAGCTAGTTAAAAAGAATGGTAGAATGGTCATATTACCGTTTGGCTAGAATCTTCTCAAACCCTAACCACCGGTTTATGCCATTTAGGTGATTCGACATGATTCCGACGCCGTTAATCAGTGTCGACTACACCCTCAACTTCCCCATCCTTCACTCACAAAAACCCCTCACTCTCCCACCACACCGAGCACACCAATCGCTAGCCACTACTGGTTTTTTGTTCGCACGACCTTTGAGCTTCCAGGCTAGATTCCGACCAATTTGGTTAAGAAAAACTCCATCTGAAGCTACTTGTAGCATCAGCGGCACCTCCTTTCCAAAAGCCCCATCATCCTAGACTTGGTTGTTCACCGTTCATCAGACGTCAACCCTTCTACAAAAGAACTAAACCACGATCGTTAGTGATTGGAGAGCTATCACGGTTTAGATTGTTAGGGCTATTGAAGAGGGATGACTGATGATTCATTTGGTGGTAGAAGGTCAGATTATGGTGGTCGGAGTCAACCGAAATCATGTGTGAAAGTTTGATTTGCGGTGGCGTGCGATTAGGGATTGAAATCTGGTGGGGGTATTTTTGTCTTTGCAATTAAAACTATTGTATTTAAAAGAAATTATTAACTGAGTTTGTGTTTTGGGTAGGAAAGTGGTATTTTAAAAGTATGAGGGTGGAAAAGTGTCCTTAAGCCATTTTTTGGGTGGAAAAAAGGCGTTAACTCTATTTTTAATATTAAATTTTATGATAAATAAAAACCTTTGGATCTAGAGGAATTATATTAAATTGGCCTCATAAATCTAACATGAAAGTGGGATACCGTTTGAAGAAATAACAAGATTTCGACCCTATGAAGTTTAATAAGGTTCACTTAATGAAGGAGAAGAGGAAGATTTAAAAAACTAATAAAATGGATCTAGATTTGCATTTTTAAATAACATAAGCTTGTTGCATATTTTAAAACACAAGGAAATTTTCACAATTTGCTTTACGTATGTTTCTTTAGGTTAGGAGTACAATCACCAAACCAAGTAATTGATTATAAGGATCACAAAATACCAAACTTTGAACTATTAAGATCATTGTGACCCACCCGAACATGGTGAGGTTGGTAGTTAAAATATTTATGAGATTAATGTTATGATCTATTGATAAATTGATATTTATTTAATGGGGATGGGAGCGCAACTTGGTCCTATCTTGTAACTTAACGATGGTCATAATCTAGCCATAGATCTGACCGAAAACGGTCATATTAGTGTACGACTGATCAGATCCAATCAGTCATGCGTTGTTCCAACAACTGTCAACTGCCGTCTGGTGATAGTGATCAGCAGCCGGTTGTCCTTTTGGCTTGTTGAGGCGTTTTAGTTAGTTTCTAAACTTTTATTGTGGGGGTGTTTAGCTAAATTAACAAATGTAAGGGGTTAAAAAAATATAAAATAATAATAATAATAATAAAATAGAAGGCTAATTTAGTAATCTATATAACATACCCACCAATTTATTCCTCTCAACTAAACATATAAATATAACATACCCACCAATTTATTTTAACCTAACCAAATATATTTCCCTAAATATTTCTAGTAATCTATCATCTCATTAATATAACATTCTCAATAGCACAACATTCCCTAAACCAAACGTATCCTTACAAGAATGGGAGCCTTCGACCCGTTTGTGGTGGGGATGACATACTAAATTCGGGGCCAAATCGGGGACGGGGATTAAAATTCATCCCTGCATTGATTTCAAGCCGAGGATGAGGATGAAAGCCTAAGGCTGACCCAGTTTGAAATTACTGTAAAATATTAAAAATTAAATAAACAATTTATTTTTACTATTTTCTTAGATTGGTGTTATTTAACTCCCACCTAAACTTGTTTTAAACTCCAAAATCAATTAAATTTAAATAAATTTCATTTATTCCAAAATTAAAATTTTCCTAATCCTTTTTGTTGTGTGTGGTTTTTCCATCAAGCGCGGGCTAACTCAAGGATATAGCTCGACCTGGAATGAGCTCGACAACTATGATTGATTGACCCAGCATAAGCTAGTTGCGAACAATTCAAGGAATCATTCAATCAATCCCTAGATTACTTCAGATCCCAGATATTGCGGGAAAGACTGGATCAATGGTGATCACTGCGCAATCACAGCACCTAATCGCGAGGATATCAGAATTATGATTCAAATGAGTTGTAATCCCCCAAATTTCATTTTTTCCTTTGTACCAATCTTGTATATAAATCCCTCCCAGACAATGAGGAGGGGATCACGAATTTCAGATAAAAATCGAATTGTAAACTCTCACAGCAAATGCAAAAACACAGTGGACGTAGGCTATTAACCTGGCCGAACCGTTTTAAAAATCTCTTCGTTTTTAGTTCATTTCATTCATATTCATCGCTGATTTTCACTAATCATGAGCACACCGATTTCGATCCTGGCAAAGTCAATCAAATCACGCTGGTTGGTGTAGAATTTTGTATCAACATTTTGGCACTAGAGGAAGGGCCTTCGCCAATATTTCAAATATTCTGGCAAACGTTCACCACAATTTACCTGTTCCAAGGCCAAAATGGTGTACACTAGATCGAAAACTACCACCAGGAATCACGAGAATGTGGAAACACCCACCAGGAGGTGCAACAGGAGAACGTTGGACGCAACCACCTGTGTCGCCAACTCACCACACTGCGAACAACCAAGGGGTAGGGACGTCAGCCCTCGAGAATGGCCAGCTGATGGAGATGATCAGGACAATGGTTGCACAAGCGGTGCAACAGAACGTGGCTGAGTTGAGGAACCAACAACCGGTTGCCCAAAACTACGACCAGCCGCGTTTCGCTAATGCAATACCAACAGGTATGAATTCTGCAGGTGGACAATCTGCTTCGTCACCGCCAAGGGGTGGTCAACGCCTCCAACCTCGCAGGCAGCACTCTACGCATGAGCGTGAGTCTTGCGGGCAAACAAACCTTGGAAGGCGTGTGGGAAACAACCGCTGAGTGAAAGCAAAGGGAAAGGATACCACCGAGAAGCTCGGCGGTATCCCCAGCGTCAACGTGCCAGTTTTAACCCAGGCCCAATGCAAGATTGATCTTCCCAGGCTTGCGAAGCGAGTCATGTGCGTTAATCTGGCAATGATCGATGTTCTGGTTATGACCGACGTCACGAGCAACGCATTAACGAGCATGACTCGACCTCGCACATTAATGTGCACGCCAGAAGAGCTTCACAAGCAACAAACTTGCAGACTCATTTGCTTGAAGTGGGGCTTAACAGACCAGCCAGGGCAACCAAAATGAAGACTTAGATCGCATGCAGAGGAAGCTTGACGACCTAAAAGCTTGCCAAAACAACCTAGCGGATGAAGTGATAAGTTCCCCTTTTACGGAGGAAGTTCGTCAGGCCTCGCTCCCATAAGGGTTCAAGGCACCGGAAAGCAAGTTCGACGGGAGAGGGAACCTTAGAGACCACCTTGACAACTTCAATGACCTGATGGAGCTACACTAGGTTAGTGACTTAGCGAAATGTCAGTGCTTCGCAGTCACATTAGTCAAAAATGCCAAGAGGTGGTATAAAAGGCTCAAGGTGAACTCCATTAACTCCTAGCAACAATCCTCTTCGCTGTACTTACAACTATTTCAGGCAAGGAGGCAGTTCGCGATGCTGCTTGGCTACTTGAGCAACATTCACCAAGAGTGAGACGAATCATTGACCTCGTATTCAATGAGGTTCCAAAACAAGTAGGCAAAAGTCGTTGATGCCCCTAAAGAATCCATTCAAACTTTGCTGATTGTAGGGATCAGGCCTAACATAGAATTGTGGAAAGAGCTACAGAGTGAAGATCATGTGAGCCTAGCCAAATTCTACCAGATGGCCGCGAAATACCAACAAGTAGAGAGCTCGCTGGTAGCGTTAGCCAGAAGCTCAACGTGGGGGGTCTTGGACAAGAGACAAGATCACCCTTCAGATAAGCATGGGGGTCAAGATCGTAACGATAGAGATTGCAACAGGTCCTAGAAGAAATAGAGGATAGATAACCGCGGTAACAGACAACCTTTCCCGCAGTATGCAGAATACAACCCCCTCACTCAAGACATCACCCACATATACGAAATGTCTCGAGAGGCGAAGAGACTACCTACTCCAGAAAGGATGAGGGGGCTCCAGGCAGAAGAGACCAGCATAAATATTGCCGATACCACAAAGATGTCGGGCACAACATGAATGATTGCCGAGCCCTGAAATACGTTATCGAAGAGCTGATAAGAAGAGGCCACTTGAAAGAATTTGCTAAGGCAGAACCAGCGCACGAAAACCTTGGCGAGCAAAGTAGTCAAACCCCAGGATAGGTTTAGGTTCCAACTCAACCAAATCCCAACGAAGTCTTCGTGAATATGATCTATGGAGGGCCCGACATAGAAAGAAGCTCGAGACGGGCTCGCGAGTAGTATGCTCAGGAAGTGAGGACATACTCGATTCCCTTAATAATGGGCTGCGAGAGAAAGCCACATAAGTGGCCCAAATAGGAAAGCGAGGTAGTGGGGTTCACAGTTGACGAGTGAGAAACATCCCTCTGTCATAATCATGACGCGATTGTAAACGCGGCCAGGATCGGCAATGTAAGAGTGTTAAGGGTTATGGTCGACAACAGGAGCACGACAAACATCATATTCTTGGGAGCCTTCCGAGGAATGGGATTCACATAAAGGAACCTAGGAGTGTGCCCCTTGCCACTCTATGGGTTCACTGGGGATAGCCTGGTTCCCAAAGGTACTATCGACCTTCTCGTAACTCTGGGGATAGAACCAAAGGTCAAAACAGTGATGGCCGAATTCTTAGTGGTGGACTACTCGAACACGTACAATGTCATCCTTGGAAGGCCAATCCTAGATGATTTAAGCGGAGTCACATCAGTGCGCTACCAAGCGATGAGATTTTCGACTTCAGGGGGAGTCGCGACGATCAAGTGCTGTACCAAGGAATCTCGAGAATGCAATAATCGAGCTATAAACGCTGCACAAAAATGGTCACACCGAAAGACAATGATCATCGTAGAATCCAAGCCGAACCTTGGGTCACTAGAGGACACTATAGATCCTCGCATCCATAAAGAAGAGCCCGCAGCAGGACTGATCGAAAAGCTGCTAGAAATAAGAGTTAGCGAGGAAGATCCAACTCGCGTGCTGAAAATCGGCAGCATCTTGACCAGAGAAATTGATGATAATCTGATCGGGTTCTTGAAGAGGAACCTCAACGTATTCGTGTGGGTGTACGCAAATATGGTTGGGATCAGTCCCGAGGTGATGTGCCACAGGTTGCACCTGGACCCACAAGCTCAGCCCATAAGGAAGAAAAGAAGGGCCATGGATGCAGAGCGCTCTCAAGCGCTCAAGGATGAAGTCGATAAACTCTTAGAAATCAACTTCATCAGGGGAGTCAAGTACCCCGACTGGCTCGTCAATCTAGTCCTAGTCAAAAAGTCGAATTGCAAGTGGCGGACTTGCGTCGACTTCACGGATCTAAATAAGGACTATCCAAAAAATAGTTTTTTGCTACCACAGATCGACCAACTAGTAGATGTGACAGCGAGAAACGTACAACTTAGCTTAATGGATGCATACTCGGGATATAACCAGATCCTAATGTACCAGCACGATGAAGAACATATTTTTTTTATTACTGACCGTGGAATCTATTGTTACAGGGTTATGCCATTTGGCCTTAAGAACGCTGGGGCGACCTACCAGCGCTTGGTGAACAAAATGTTCACCAACCAAATTGGCTGATCCATGGAAGTATACATCGACGACATACTCGTCAAGTCAAAGGTCATTGAAAGTCACATTGAACACCTAGGAGAAATGTTTGACATCCTTAGAAAGTATCAAATGAAGCTCAATCTACTGAAATGTGCTTTTGAGGTAAGCTCCGAAAAATTCTTAGGCTTCCTCGTGAACCAACGTGGTATAGAAGCAAACCCGGAGAAGATCTAGGCCCTACTTGACATGAAAAGCCTGACTGACATAAAGTAGGTACAGAGCTTGACTGGACGTGTGGCCACGCTCAATGGATTCGTTTCTCAAGCCACGGACAGGTGTTTACCCTTTTTGAGACCCTGAAGAGGAAGAAGGGTTTCAAATGGACAGAGGAGTTCAAAAGAGCCTTCCAGGAGCTGAAGAAACACCTTGAACAACCTTCCCTACTGTCAAAACCCATCCAGGGTGAGCCGTTACTATTGTACTTGTCAGTATCAAAATTCACTGTCAACGCAGCATTGATACGTGAAGAGGAAAGAATACAATGACCAGTGTATTATTTAGGCAAGAGACTGCTCGACGTGGAGACAAGGTACTCAGAGATGGAGAAGCTCGCCTACGCCCTTGTTGTTGCTGCCAAAAAGCTGCGACTGTATTTTCAGGCACACTTCATCCATCTGCTGACAAACTTCCCCTTGAAGAAGATAATGCATAAGCTCGAGGCATCGGGTAGACTGATCCAGTGGACGATAGAGATGAGTCAGCACAACATCAAGTATATCTTGAGGACATCGATCAAAGGCTAGGCCGTAGCAGATTTTATATCTGAGTTTTCCTATCAACCAGAGGCTGAGCCAAGCCCGCCAAAGGCAGATACCTCAGGAGAGATCGAGCAACATAAATAAAAGAGCGACAACTTATGGCTGTGGGCATTGTTCATAGATGGCTTCTCGAATGAAAAGGGAGAAGAAGTAGGCCTCTTGCTGGAAAGTCTAGAGGGAGACCCAATCAGAGCTATAGTAAGGTTCGGGTTCAACGCCTCCAATATCGAAGCTGAGTATGAGGCATTGCTCACAAGTATCTGACTTTCCAGGGAAATGGGGGCAAAGTCCATCAAGATTTATAGTGACTCATAGCTCGTGCTCCATCAAGTTATCGGGGAATACCAAGTGAAGGAAGATAGGATGGCATCCTACCTTCAGCAAGTGGAGATCAAGCTCGGACAATTTAGATACTTTACCATTCATCAAATCCCAAGGGAGAAAAACTCGTAGGCAGATGCATTGTGATAATCCTAGCATTATACTGTTTTATCTATGCTTTTTGGCTGGATTTTGGATACTTCTTCTTAAGTTTGTGGCAGAATTGCAACTTAATTTCATATATTTTACGTTTTAGGCCAAAACATACAGTTAGAGCAAACAATGAGCGAAATTGAGTTTCTGGAATCAGAATCAAGCGAATTTCAGGAATCGGGAAAGTTCTGATGCAGATTCGAAGCACTATGAAGCTTGTTCCTATTGGAGATCACTAAGATTAAAGATTCAAGCAAAGAAGCAAGCGGATGGCAGTTTCGTAATTTTAGAATAGTTCAGAAAAGTTCGCCACGGTGAAGTTTGTTCTTCACCACAGCGAGAAAGTCTTGGGTCAGATAGTGAAATAAAATCCAATTCGATGCCGTGGCAAAGTTTATTCTTCATCGTGGCGAAAACTATAATTTTAGTTTGTGCCTGAATTGCATCTTAATTTCATATATTTTATGTTTCGGGCCAAAACGTGCGGTTAGAGCAAACACTGAGCGAAATTGAGTCTCTGGACCTAGAATCAAGCGAATTTCAGGAATTGGGAAAGTTCTGATGCGGATTCGAAGCACTATGAAGCTTGTTCCTATTGGAGATCACTAAGATTGAAGATTCAAGCAAATAAGCAAGCGGATGGCAGTTTCATAATTTCAGAAAAGTTCATCGCAGTGAAGTTTGTTCTTTGCCGCGACGAGAAAGTCTCGGGTCAGATAGTGAAATAAAATCCAACTCGATGCTCTTCGCTGCGGCGAAAACTGCAATTTTTAGTTTATTAAAACTGTGCGTTTTAATTGTATGGGATTAGTCTTAGGACTTAGGGTTGACTATTTAAGAGGGACTTAGTTATTTTTGTAGAGGTTCGACACTGTTTGGAGCAAAATGAGAGAAATTGAAGATTGGAAGCCTTTGGGTTCATCAAATAGGGAAGAATTTATTCTCTTTTCGTTAGTCCAGCATGTTGAACTCTGTTTTTACTGCTTTTATTTTGATTTGCTTTATTTTTAGTATGAACTAATTCACTTTTGAGTTAGGGTTTTGATGTAATTGGGATTTTAATGTCTGTTTTCATATTTATTGCTTAGATTGTGTATTTATTCTTGTTCTAATTGAAATTAATTGTTGAGCATGATGAGACTGAGAAGTGAATCATGTATTAGCCTCTTAGAGTAAATACCATTGATTGATTGAACGCTAGAGACAGGTTCGAAGATCCATGAAATCAGTTTAGGATTCCACTTAGCTTAATGGACTTAGAACTATTAACCTTCATTTTGTTGGGTGCGGAAGTTTAATAGGGATAAGTAGGAAAACATAGCCTGAGAAGGTATGTTTTACATGTTAGGGTGTTCAATTTATAATCCTTGCATGTGAACTTAGAAGCAACAAAAATTGAAGATTAATTCATAAAATCCTAGTGAAGTCAAAACCCTAACCGCTTTGTCTTAATTGATATTTTCTTGAATTGATTTTGCTCTCATTAATTAGATTTTAAATTACGTTGTGGATTTTGTTTTAACTTCAGCTTAAATGTCTCCTGCGAATCCAACCATTTTTCGTTTGCTCCAACTTGATATAAATTAGTATAGTACTTGACACGCTATCCTATTGGGAACAATACTTTACTCATCATTCTATTAATTGTTGTGATTAGTGCACTTGCTACACATTGCATGTTGTAAAATCAATTCATCACATTGGCTCGCTTGGCCTCAGCAATGAACAATGGGAAGGCCGATTCAATCCCAGTTAAATTCCTCCCAAAACCAAGCATCTCCGCTCCACAAGATCCAATGTTAACCACAAGTTAAAGGTACAGTTGGATAAATACAATCACCACCTACTTGAAGGACGACACACTACCAGAAGACAAAAACCGAAGTTAGAACAATCCGCATGAAGGTAGCTCGGTACACTCTCATCAACGATAGATTGTATAAGCTTGGATTTAACATACCGTTGTTGTGATGTATAGACCACGAGGATGCAAATTATGTTCTTAGAGAAATACATGAGAGAATTTGCGGGAACCACGTAGAGGGCAGATCTCTAGCTTACAAGGTGCTCCACCAGAGATATTACTGGCCAACGGTTTATGATGATGCAACAGATTATGTCCGCAGATGTGATAGATGCTGGAGATTTACAGATATTCCGCGGACTCCACCACAATAATTGACCACTCTGACAAGCCCATGGCCATTCATGATCTGGGACATTGACCTTATCCGCCCATTGCCTCAAGGAAAAGGGGGCATTAAATTCGTGGTAGTTGCCATGGATTATTTCACCAAGTGGGTAGAAGCCAAACCACTGGCAATAATAACGTCGAGCAGGCTAAAGGATTTTGTCTATAAGAACATAATTTGTCAGTTTGGGATTCCCTACACAATAATAACCGACAGTGGGAAGCAATTCGACAGCGAAGATTTCAAGACCTTCTATGATCAACTTGGCATCAAGAAGAGTTTTGCTACCGTCTATTGTCATCAAACCAACGGATAAGTAGAGGCTGTGAACGAAGTAATCAAGCATACCATAAAGAAGAAGCTTGATGACCTTAAAGAGAGATGGGCTGACGAGCTGCCAAAAACTTTATGGTCTTACAGAATGACTGCCAAGAGCTCAACGGCAAGACCCCATTTTCTTTATCTTATGGATGTAAGGCAATGGTCCTGGTTGAAGTAGGAATCAGTTCGTTCTGAAGAGAAGTCTTCAACGAAGGAGCAAACGAAGACCTTCTCCACCTAAGGCTAGATCTGATCGAAGAATATCAAGCTAAATCTCAGCTGAGGCTTGCCTCGTATAAACATCGGGTTAAGTGATACTTCAATACCAAGGTAAAAAATAGAGACTTTGAAGTGGGTGATCTAGTCCTCAGAAAAGTCGTCTAAGGTACTCAAAACCCGAACTTGGGGGTACTTGAGCCCAAATGGGAGGGTCCCTTCAGGATATCCGAAAAGCTCGCACAAGGATCCTTTCACCTGAAACGTCTCAACGGCGAAGCAATAATGCGAGCTTGGAACGTCGAGCACTTGCAAAGGTATTACAAATAAGCAGATCGAGTTTCACTTGTGCTTATGTTCTGCATTCATGTTCGTTGTAAGGCCATTTACGGCCAAAATACTTTATCAATAAACGAGGTATTATTCATTATTTTCTATGATTCATTGCAAATATCTTAAGATCATTAGCATTTCACTAAATCGTGACCTAAGCGACGATATTCTTAAAAAAAAAAAACTCACAGTGAAGAGTCCAAGAAAGGCAGCTTATCTCGAACAAGCCACGCCAAAATCCAACACTTTGAGGGTGAAACACCCCTAAATCGACGAAGTTAAACTTGAAATCAATTTCAAGGAAAAACAAGTCGAAGGAAATCGACCTTAAGCCGGCGCCCAAAAAACTTGAAAAGGGCAATAAGGTCCGAAATCGAAGTTGAACGGCGCATAAGATTTCCTCATACAAATCCGAAAAAGCTTATTAAGAAGCGAGCTATGCGTAACCTTAAGCAAATTTGAATTTTAGTGTTACAAGTCCTACTAGGACGACAAATTGACTCTGTAGAAGTATAATAAATATTGCTCGACATGGAAACAATAAAAGTTTCTTTCATTGATTAAGTTTAATTACAAAGGCAAAAAAACAAAAATGACTTTTCAACTAGGTAAGGGAGCAGGAGCTTCATCGAGAGGAAGAGATGGCTCGTTAATAGGAGGAACGATGACTTCCTCTCCAAGGTCGGGAACCTTAGCTAGTGGAATCATGTTCAGGGGAGTTGGATCCTCGACCCGGAGCTAGGGCTCGATCTCTTCTTGGTCCTTGCCCTCTTCCTTGGACTCATCCGAGTAAACATTGGTTTCCCCCCGAGCTTCGACCTTTATCTTTTCCACTTCCTTCTGATAAGCTTGGGGAAGGAAAGAGAAGTCAATCGAAGGATGGGCTTCCTACAATTTTCGGACAAGAAAGACGGATGTTTCCCATACCTGAGTAGTAATAGCCTCGTTCAACTCGTCAATCCGAAGCCTGAGCTATCTAGCCTCAACTTTGGCCTCTTGGCGACCTGCCAACTCCCGGCCAAGGTCGAGCGAAGACTGTTTGGACTTGGCCTCCCAGTTTGTGGTAACTTTCTAAGCCGAGGATAGCTTAGAATTCAGTTTGTTGTTGGCACCCTGCTGTTACGCCAAAGCCTCTGCGACCTTTGCTGCCTTAACTCGAGCGTTCTTACTCACTTTAAGCTTGTCAAGGAATTCCCTTTCCTTGACCTGAAAGGTTGCGACTTCCCCCTTGAGCCGCTCGAGATCAGCGCTTCTAGCCTTCTTCTCTTTCTCTGCAAGCTTGGCCCTAGCCAGAGCATCCTCCTTCACTGTCTCTATAGCCTTCCATTTTTGGTGGTTTGCTTCTAAAGTGTCGTTGCATTCCTCGTAAAGAAGTTTGCTTGCCATGACAGCCTGAAAAGAGAAGATGGGGAGTCAACAAGAAGCGAGAATAGCATGCAAAAGAAAAGGGGGCACGAACTATCGGTACCTTCACCACGTAGTTGCAAGTTAAAGCTAACATATGAGAGGGAGACGAGTCCTTGACAGCCACGAATGTTCATAGGGTAACGCAATCCCTAGCCACTGTGGCCCCAACATCGATATGGTCAGGGAGTTGGTTGATCAGCCCATCGACCATAGCTTGGGCTGTTTCGTTTGTCTCCTTACTTTTTGGTTGGGATGAGCCAAGTTTACTCCCCCTAGAATCACTTGCCTCGCCAACAGAAGCGGATTTCTTCTTGGCCAAGCATTTGGCCACTTCTTTTCTAAGGTCGCTGGCTTGCGTGGTGACCTCTTTGCCTGAGCCAATTTGCTACTCGCGTGCTTTATTTTTCTCCGAGCATCCAGTTGGCTTAGACGTCTTCTTCATTGGCCCATTTCGAGGCTTCGTAATGTTTTTCCTGCCAACCGCCTTAGTGGCAGTTGTGGGCTTCTTTGTGCTTAGGCCTCCCCCAAGCTCGCCACCAGCACGCTTCGAGCCGGTAATGTCTGCGGGCTACTTCGTCCTTGATATAGCCGAAGCCTTCGTGGCTCATTTTCTTCTTTTTTGGGCTTTCGACCCATATTGCTTCAAGGAAAAAGGCAAACGAGTTAGCAATCTATTTGCGCGGAAAAGCAAACGTGAGCAAGTAACAACTTAACCTTTCTCCAAAAGCGCTAGAAAATTGGCCTCGTCCTAACAAAAGTAATACGCTTTTAGGTGAGGAAGCATAAAAAGCACGTTAACGTTGCACAGATTGTCCGAAAGATCGCTAAAACGTTGCATTCTTTGTAAGCTCGTAGCTGGATGATAACTCTGCTCGACATTAACTACAAAAACAACACAGGATGATCAGTTAGAATGTACAGCTCGAGAATAATCCTCGCACATACACGGGAAGCCTGAGCCTTACTCGCTTCCGCAGCAAAGACACTGGTCTCCCGGGCTTCGTAGAAAAAGAACTGAGAATCCCAGTATGGAACTTTCTACGAGACATCTCCCAACCCGTTGAAACGTGCTCTCCTCACTTTGGAAAGGTAGTACGTCTAGTCTTACCCTTTTTTGAGCCTGTACAAGTGGATGAGCTCTTCGACGGATGACTCGCCCAAGTCAACGATAATGATCACATAAGAATTGGTCGTTAGTTGAAGAGGAACAATGTCAAATCACCTTAACACGTTATCGATTAAGTAGTGCGGGGGAATGGATACCCCACACCTAAGGAGAGTCTCAAAGGTGGCTACCCATCCATAAGAGGGGTTCTTTCGAGAATATTCCCCCAGAACCATCAAGTTAAGCTACTACGCGTAGACCACTCTTATGCGTTCAAGATCCTCGAGGGTGATCGAGGATTGTGATTCTCTTCATAGCCTATAGGCTGGAGACGGTGGGGAGTGAGCCAGCTGAATCGAAGCATGATCGGATAAGCCCACAGCATCAAGGTCCGAGCTTCGAATGGCAAATTCTTCAGAGACCTCGGGGGACACATCCTCAAGAGCTGCCAAGCCTGCTGGCGAATCAAACATTCGGTCTATAGTGTGACTACTAGAGGAAGACATGGTTGTAGCTCGCTTTTGGGTACTTGAAAAAAGAAACGAACCTATGTTAAAGCTTGAACAAATCGGCGAGCATTCCACACTCGCTTCTATTTTAGGCACCAGAGATAGCTCGCGCAATACAACGAAGGGATGCGACCTACCTAGGATACCCATGGCCACCACATTAAACCCCTTTAAAACCTGAGAAAGCTAGAGAAGCAACCAAAAACGCTACTAAAACCTTAAAACATCCAATGTGGCCACTACAGTAGCCACCATTTGACGCAAGAATAAGAAAAACAGAAGAAAATAAGGAAAATAGCCTTACCGGAATAAGAAAAGTGCTGGGAACTTGTGAGAAAGACCACCGTGATGACGTAAGAACAACGGCAAAGGAGAACCAGAGTCAAAATAACTTTTAGAGTGACTATTCTGAGGTTTTTCGCTACCTTTTATAGTGGTTTGCATGGGAGACGAAGGGACGGGGTTTAATCGTGGTCGTTGACTTATAATCGATCTTGACCCTTCATTCATCGAGCAATCTCAACCCGTAGGCATGGCCACACGTCGACCATCTGCAAGGAGCGATGAACTGACAAATTGTATAATGATAACAGTCATCGCACGTCGCCTCGACTTCGCCTGTGAACAGTTGAAGTCGCCTACGCATGATGAAACGTAACTGACAAAGGATGCCGCATTTAATGCGGCACGACCACGCAGAAATTACCTGTATGCCCTGACTATTCATATTCTGAGTTTTGACAGGTACCATGAAGAATAAAGATCCAAGTGTGAGGTACATCGGCCAACCACAAGGTCGATCATAGGGGCCCAGTCGGACACGCATTCGGAGACTCACTGTTGAAGCCGAACTTGGCATCAAATCGAGCAATGGTCTTCGAAACCCAAAAAGAGCACCGAACACTAGGGGGCAGATGTTGTGTGTGGTTTTTCCGCCAAGCTCGGGCCAACTCGAGGTTATAGCTCAACCCGGAATGAGCTCAACAACTATGATTGATAGACCCAGCATAGGCTCGTCGAGCTATAGCTCGACCCAGCATAAGCTAGTCGCGAACAATTCAAGGAATCATTCCATCAATCTCCAGATTACTTCAGATCCTAGATATTGCGGGAAAGACTAGATCAACGGTGATCATTGCAGAATCACATTGCCTAATCGCGAGGATATTAGAATTATGATTCGAATCAGTTGTAATCCCCCAAATTTCATTTTTTTCCTTTGTACCAATCTTGTATATAAAGCTCCATCAGACAATGAGGAGGGGGTTACGAATTTTAGATAAAAAAAATCACATTGTAAGCTCTCACCGTAAATACAAAAACACAGTGGACGTAGGCTGTTAACCTGGCCGAACCACTTTAAAAATATCTTTGTTTTTAGTTCATTTCATTCATATTCATCGCTAATTTTCACTAATCATAAACACATCGGTTCCGATCCTGACAAGGTCGATCGGATCACTTTAGTTGGTGTAGAATTCTGTATCAACACTTTTTAATAAATCTATTTTCATAATGTTTTTAATTTATCTTCTTTCTTAATACAGTACTTTTAATTTCTCATTTATTTAATCATGATTAATAAACATCAAAACATACAACATATTTTTTCAAAATCAAATTCTTCTTGAATTTTTTTCCTTGTGTTATTTGTTTATTTTTTGGAAGTGGATGAAATTTTACATGAATATACTTCTTGTTGATTCAGTGATTTGCACTAACGAGAAGTATGTAAATTCCATAATAAAATCTACATAAAGGATTTGTAAGAAATTTGTGATATGATGTTGGATCTATGAATAAATAAAAAATATAAACAACAAGATATTTTTAAAGTGGTTTGGATGTTAAATGCAAATCCTAGGTCAATTGTTTTTGTATTGCTTTTTTGTGTTTGTTTTCTTTCTCATGTACAAGTGTTGATTGCATAAAAGATCGATCCCTAATTTTGGTGAAAAATAAGCTTATATATTGTTACAATAACAAACTTGTAAATAAAGTTAACCTTAAATGAAATGATACGTGACGCGAATCCGCACTCGGGAGATTGACCGCACAACACTTGTGATTTATAAAAAGTTATAAAAACCTATAAAAACAAACAAAACAAAGGTTGGAAAAACTATTTCCTGTCATGATTTAAATATTCTTTTTGATAAGTTTTCCATAATTGATTTTAATTAATGAGTTTAAAAAAAATTAAACAGTTAAAAAGGATTGGGAATTTAGAGGAATTAAAAAAAGTGGGGAAGTGGAGAAGTTAAAAAAGATTTTTTTTTTTTTTAAAAAAAAAAAGGTAATTTTGGAATGAATAAAAAGTAATTTATTTTTTCTAATTGATTATAGGGTTCGAAAGAGTTTGAGTGGAGCTTAAATAATACAAATTTTTTTTTTTTTTTTTTTAATAATAATTAGATAATACTAGCTATCCTAAGTCCTAACTTCTAAATCTAATTTAATGCAATATTGCCAACTATATTTAATCAAGTAACAAGATTTTGCATCTTAAACATATATATTTGTTTTGAAATCATGCTTGTTTGCTTTTATATATATTTTATTAAGCTAAGATTATAAATATGAAAAAGAAAAAAAAAAAGGTCTGCATATGTAATCACATTCACTTATATTATATAGAAATTATGGAGAATAATAAAATATTAGTAATAATATACGAATTACTATCTATAGATTTATTAGGAATTTTCGTCTACAGATCTATTCTTCAAAACGTTACTGTATATAAGTTAAATTGATTTCTAATATGTATTTTGTTTTGTTTTCTTTCTTTTTTTGTTTTTTTTTAATAATTTTTTACAATAATATAGACTATTAGATTAATGAATTTTTTTTTCTTAATGGGTTTTACATGCCCTTCGTTTTTTTTATTTTTTAATATTGATGCACTTTTTAAACTGATATCTTTTTTCTTAAAACAATTAACCATACCAACATTTAATTCCAAACTTTGTGATTAAAACTAAATAAGATTTTTTCAAAAAAACCAAGACAATTAGGGAATTCAGGCCGAGACATGGATTGAATAAAGTTTCGGGGAATGTTTATCCCGTTCTCTACATACAATAAAAAGGGATAAAAATGTGTTTTTAATTCGGTGGAGGGTTTGGTCATGCATGCCCGACCAACCTCAGCCGGTTACCAACCCTAGTTAGACAATATAAGAGCAAATATTTTCCCAACCACAACCCCGACTCCGTATGCGCTACAGTCTAAAGCTTGAAAAGTATACCATGGGAAAGCACAAGTCAACAACGTCAAAACATATCCCTTCCAAATGTGTGTGAACCTACGTACATGGCATAAAAACATATCTCCATTTGTGACCATAGCTCAAAAGTGGTATTATATTCTAATGAAAAATTACGTTTATTTATAAATAAAGAGCCTTCATCTTATCACATTGACAGTGACACAAATGCTTCTTAGCTTTTACTTTAGTCAAACTCATTTTTCTTAAGTTTTAAATTACTCATGCTATCCTCATGTCAGATTATGAAAATTAAATGGATTAACACTACAATTAAGGTTAGCTGAATTTCAATTAAAAAAACACCTTTTGAATACACATCTGAACACGCTAAAAGTCGTTTTAGTGCAAGTGTGTGCTTATGAATTGAATTAATGTAATGTCATCCTATCCATAACACACAACACATGACACGGCTGGAAGAAAATTGTTGGAAAATTATAATCTGCAATGGCGGAAACATACACACCATTGCTCAAGCACCGAATCAAATAGAAATGAGTTAGATCTTGAGTTTATAAAGCTCAGCAAAACTCATCGCCTAACAAGAGCAAATCACATATGAAGCTCATTCGAGAAATCAGACCAATAAGATGTCCTTTACTCGAAAGAACAATGACAATTTGTCAACTCAACCATAATGCATTTGATATCACCCCAATGCGAAACTTATAAGCGGCAACGGTAGATGAGTAAAAGTAATCACAAGCTTACAAGATTTCTTAGAAGTCTCAAACTCAAATTTTC